TGGCAACAAAAATGGAATGAGAGTGATCTGGGAAGATGGTTACATTCTATTCTCTCACAGGTGTCGAACAAGCCATGATTCAAAGGATTGGACATGAGCCGTGACTTTATACGTGTCATATCAAGGGTCATGTACAATCACTACTCGTTAGACTCGCATTTCTTCCGAATCGGGCTCGCAGGCAGCAATTTGTGCGCTTGTGGTAGTGGCTATCACGATATCGACCACGTGCTTTGGTCATGCACCCTCTATGGTGTTGCTAGATCCGAGTTATCCGCATCCCTCAGGGCCCGAGGAAAACAACCTATGCGGCCCGTTAGAGATATCTTGGCGAGCCGAGATCTCGACTATTGCAATTTAATTTATGTGTTTTTTTAAAACGGATAGATCTGAGGATTTAGTAGTTAGTGTCATCTTGTGTTCCCCCAAGTTGTTAGCTGCCCATCGGTGTACCCCCATGTTTGTCTTTTTCATCAGTTGGTCGCTTAGTTCGAGATCAAGAGCACATTGCTAACCAAAACCTTGTGTTCTCAATCCCTACCCTGCCATCCATTTGTTACAATTTGTTACCCCTAACCTCGAGATAGCCGCGAGTAATTGGCCCCCGCTTTACTAACGTTAGTTTTAAGAAATTTTGTAACCTAAACAATGAATATCGGCTCCGCAAAGCTACGGCAAATGAGCCTGGAAAAATAAACGCATTTATAAAAAAAAAAACTCACTACTCACAACAAATACAAAAAATGACAAAATGATACACTTTTTGCACACTGTCAACGAAACATTGTAAACAAAATCAACTTTGTGAAAAACCAAAACAAAAATACTATCCCATCTGGTGGATGATGGCACAAGCTTCTAAGAAAATTCTATTACAGCTAACCACATTATTTTAATTGATTTCTTCGCCAGTTAGTCGTCTGTCACTTCGTTTGTGGTGCAAAGAGTGTATCATTCTGCATTTTTTATGCATTTCAGTTTTGAGTAGAGTGAAAGAGATAGAACCAAAACATTCTAGTACATTTAGTGTTGCCATGTGGTACAATCAACAATCAATACGAAACCACAGACAAACAGACGTAACACTTCATTGTGTATCTTCGTTCACGCATTTAACGGTTGATTTGAATACTATCAGTTCCGCGAACTAATCGCCGCAGCGCTGCCATCGGATCACTTTGACGTTTTTATACATTCTATAGAACTTTTATGCAATATTGTTTGCGAGTTAGCGAGCAAGCTTGTTTTCCGCGAGAAGCCCGAGAGATGTCGTTACTGAGGTCCTATGTTTTGAGATACTATGTTTTCAAGAAAAACTTTTTTAAAGAGTTACGTCTGTTTGTCTGTGACGAAATTATCGATTTTAAATTGGCTCACTACTTGACTGGCCTATTGGTCCCAAGCAAATCGATTAACGTACCCCATTCTAGTCGAAATTCTAGTACTACACAATGTTTGTTTTGATTTGCCATGAAAGTTTGACAGATAGAATGAGGAGTTCTCTCTGTCACCGGTGAGGTGACAATTGTCACCTCGTGTGAGGTGACTCTCCATGCAAATCAAATGGAGAGTCACCTCACACGAGCAGAATAGCGGGGTATGTTTCGAGAGGTGCATCGATTAGCTTGGGACCGAAGATAGTACCAGAGCTGAGCCAAAAAGTTGAGCACTTTTCTTCGGGACCTACTAGTCTTAGAGTTACCTCTATGGTACAATCATAGAGGTAACTCTAAGACCAGTAGGTACCGAAGAAACGTGCTCAACTTTTTGGCTCAGTTCTGGTACTCTCTTCGGTCCCAAGCTAATCGATTCACCCCTCGAAACATAAGAAAATCCAATAACCCCTCATTTTATCTGTCAAACTTTCATAGCGAATCAAAACAAACATTGTGTAGTAGTGGAATTTCGACTAGAATGGGGTACGTTTAGAAACACTGGAACAAGAGACCAGCGGAGAAAAAAAACATGAATTTGGCAACAAGATATACATCAAAGCAATCCTGGCATCACTTGCATTTTTAACTGCTTGCGAGTGACTTCGCCAATGCACCGACGAGCAAGTTCATGAGTGATTTTTAAACGATGTTAATACTGCTCCCTAATTGAAGCAAACCATTTGTAAACATTGCAGATTGGAACCGTTTTTGACAGTTCGATTGGAATCATAACAGTGTCTTCGCTGGTCTCTTATTCCCACCCCGGGAGCAACTGAACAGCTCCAGTGTAATGCTAATGTACCCCGAAAATTCTGGTACTCTGGTTCTGTCAAATCGAATAATGGTGGAGTAAATTTACAATTGGTCTTATTTTTTTATCAACTTTTTTTTTCCCGTTTTTAAGTTTTTTGTTTTTTTTTTTTAACTTTTTATAAAAACATTGATATTTTTTCTAATAGTCTTCCAATCGACTCAGCATGACGGGATCGGAAAATGTCTGTCTATTTATGTGTGTGAGAGAGCGCGTAAGACAATTTTCTTATATGTATTTCTCGGCAACCACTCTACCGAATTGAACGCAACAACAACCAAATGAAAGCTACCATGATTCTATAGAATGTTAATTAATAGACTTTCAATCGATTAACTGGTTCCGGATATATGGACGGAACAAGACCCTAAAATCCGGGAACTAAGTGATGTTTGTCGGCAACCACATAACCGAAATAAACGAAACCCTTTAATCGGGTTATTGCCCAGTGCCCACATGGGAAATAACCATAAAAAGTGCTTAAAAACCTGTGCAGGTACCGAACTATGTGTCATATGGTTAAACCATTTGGGTTATGGTTCGTGTATGGAACAGACAGCCGTGCTCTCTTTCTCTCTCTCTCTCTCTCTCTCTCTCTCTCTCTCTCTCTCTTTATCTCTCACACATACATACGCAAGCGATGATGATGAATTTTGATATAATTAAATCGATTGAATTCCAAGATACTATACAACACCAGTAATACGTCTCACTCAAAATTTATTCTTGGTTTGCTTTCGACGTCCACATGAAGTGAAACAAAAACATGTTTTCTGATGTGAAAAAAGTTGTGCCACCAACGATGGCTGACCCCATTGTTTACGTACGGTGGAGACATCTACAATTTGTAAGTGGGTACGTGAAACTAAGGTTTTCTGTCTAGATGCTCGGGGGGTGCTTATTCCAGTGTTTCTAGGTACGTTAATCGTTTGCTTGGGACCAATAGGCTAGTCAAGTAGTGAGCCAATTTAAAATGGTTAGTTTCGTATTGATTGTTGGTAGTACGCTTAACAGATGGCAGTAGTGTGTAAACGTTAAACGCAAGGGAATGGACTATGTGCGCCACAGGTGGCGGTACTACCAACTACGATACCTTTAAATTTACCGTTAAATGCTTGTTCGATGAACAACTTGCGAGTGTTATGTCTGTTTGTCTGTGGTCATACTATCGAACTTTGGGTTTGTGCTTCATGGGGTGTTTATATCTGTGCAGATTTACTCGCGCTAGTGTATAGAGCATTTTATGAGACGTTTCTGGTTCAACTCATGAATGAACTTTGTCAGGAGGCGGTTACCTAACGGCTGTGAGAAGCAATATCAATATCATCAAATTCTGGCAGGCAAACCAGCTCCTGTCATTTCATAAAATGGACTATTCGCTAACTAGCACGAATTTCAGTTGCTCCTGAAATTTTATGCTGGTAGACGCTGATGCCCTGTTTACATTATGCTGGTGAGCGTTTTTGCTAGCAGCGAGCTCATTAGCACAAGTGAACTAGTCTTAGTGTAAACACCACATTAGCGCCAATACTACACATTATTATAATCGAGCAAATCAAGCAGTCGACCGTACGCGATTCAAACACAACGAAAGAGGGCTAGCTCTACGCATGTGCAGTAGGGTGGGTCACAACGTCTTGTTCCCCACTGCTCTTCCGATGTGTATTGAGGTCCCCAACAACGGTGTCCAGTTTGAACAAATTTGGTTATGATCTGGATTTTCGGGAAAATTTTAAATTTGGGAACATGGGAAACGAACCGAACCTATGCATTTGCTGGCTGAAAATTCAAATATTGCTCAAATTTCACCAAATCCCGAAAATAGATTGGGAAAACTATGCAGAACAACTTAGTCGAAAACTGCAAATCGATTAGACTTCTGGGAAAAAAGTTCATCAGAATTTTATATTTCAATAATGTCACATCAGTGCTAACATTTGAAAACGGCACAAAAGCCATTTGTAAACAAATGGTTTGTGGGCCCTTTACTCACTACTTGAAGTACACCCACGCGACACAACAGCAACATCGGGTAGGGGAAATTTTCCCCTTCCTGACGATGCTGTTGGTTTGCGTGGGCGTTCTTCGGGTAGCGAGTAAAGGGCCTACAAACCATTTGTTTACAAATGGCTTTTGCGCCGTTTTCAAATGTTAGCACTGACATAACCGTAATTTCAAATCTTTCTCATTCATCTTCAAGGTAGATGTTTAAGGTACTTTGGTGCAATAAGAGCACAGAAAAAGCGCATGGGTTTCGTAAAACATTCGAAAAGACTTTCAAAAAGGAGGGCTGACAAATCCGGTCATTACTGTATTATATTAATTTAGGTCTATTGCTCTGCTCATACCTACTTACAGGCATATATATGAGCTTGTAGGTACGCGTGTTACACTTGCTCTAAAGTGCACGATAAGTAAGATCAAACCGATTTGCAGTCTTCGACAAAGTTGTTTTGTATAGTATTCTCAATCAAAGGTCTGAGATTTGGAAGAATTTGAGCAGTATTTGGATTTTGGTTATCAAATTAATAGAATCGTTCCGTTTCCCATACAAAATTTAAGATTCTCCCGCAAATCGAGATTATAACCAAATTAATTTAAGAATGTTGGGGTTGTAAAGTTGACCTACCCTAGTGTACAGCCTACGTTTGTGCAAGTAGTATTTGCAATTACGATTCAAATGTAGGTATTTTTATATCACTGTTACTGTCAACTGAACACATCAGTACTGAGTGGTGCATCGGCCGGTGAACAACACATGCTGCTAGTGGTACGCGTAACTTCGTCAAAGCTGCCGTACTATCTTAGCTGTAATTAATCTGTGTTGTCGTTGCCGTTGTCATGCACCGTTTAGCGTTCTGGTGATTTTGCACAAAAAAATTGTTATCTCTTACCTAAATCTAGATAGCTTAATCTGGGAAAAAGTTGACGAGGTCGAGGTTCGTACGGATAAGAAATTTGTATTTATTGGGCGTGAAAATCACACGTGGAATAAAGGTAAGTGTACTTCAATTTGAAGTTTCGGAATGTGTCATATTAAAGCTCCAATACCTACTTCCAGATGTGGTGGATCATATTAACGATGCTGTACGTCGCCTTCGATGTGAATTACTTCGTTCGAGCGATCTTTACAGTCGTAGTCATTTTCTTTTCCAAGCGAAATCTCAAATTGACCGACACTATCACTACCTATGGCATCTGCACCACCCAGGACATCGACATGATGCTGAACCACATGAACAATGCTCGCTTTCTGCGTGAGCTGGACTTTGCCCGGTACCACTGGTACGGCCGAACCGGCTTCTGGACCAAACTGCGAGCTTTTAGCGGATCGGCTGTGCAGGCATCGTCCATGATCCGTTACCGCAAGATGCTGTCGCTGGGGCAACCCTTCCGGATAGAAACCAACGTGGTTTGGTGGGACGATAAGTGCATCTTTTTCGAGCACAAGTTCATCACGCTGCTGGATGGATTCGTCCGGGCGGTAGCCATTTCGAGACAAGCCGTTACCGGGGTGGAATTGTCCCGGGTGATGGACCAATTCGAGGAAAGTCGCTGCAAACCGGAACAACCGGACGAGATTCGACATTGGATGGATGCCGTGGATATTTCCAGCCGGAAGTTGCGGAAAGAGCGATAGGAGCCTGCATTTGGGTTTCACCTGGAATGTACCCTACAATTGCGATATTGAAATGTTACATAGTATTGCGATAAACTCTAGTCAACTTAGTTGAAGATGGTAATTTCAAATAACAGACTAAAGTGGTAATTTTTATACGATAGATGAAGGAGACGAAAGTCTAGAGTTGATAGTATAGTCAAAGTCTAGTCAACTTGTTTTTAATTAATAACGTATTTCGCCAATCATAATAAGCATGTTTTACTTAATGTCTTGTTCAGACTACAGAGCTACAACATGATATAATAATTATCGACAAGAAAAATGTCATCAAGACAGGCTTATCTACCTCTATAGTTACCTCTATGTTGTAACTGCTCAGTCTGGCCAGTGTTTAATTATTCACGACTCTTCATACGCCTAAATGTAGATTACAAATTGAACATGTTTTGCGTAGCAGTACACAGTGGTCCAGAATGCATATTTAGGTGGAAGGATATTTTTTTTAATTCTTTATTTAAGAGATTTTTAGCCAAAGGCTAGTTCATCTCTAAATGGAAGGATATGTTTTGAGCCTGAAATTGAAAATTTAGACTAAAAGTTTCTTCTACAAAGCTGTTCCTTATAGTTAGGCCCTCATTTTTATGACAATGAATTCTAGGGTGGTTCTTATTATCATAAAAATAAAAAAAATCTAACTTTTTTGTTTGAATAAATAAAGGTATACATTCTTCGGCAAAGTTATAGCTAAGCTAATTTCAAGCAACATTGTAACTTTATTGTATCTCTTAAATTGACCGATTTAAATCTATTTTCTTGAATTGAGTTAGGGTGCCTCTAAAAAAACAGTTGTTTTGCTCTAGTTTTCTTATTTCAAATAACTTTTAGATCTTTAGAAGGCGCACATTTTTGCTGCACAAAGCGGCGTTGCACGGACTCGACTCTCTCAGTCCAAACCACAGAACAATATTCTGGAATGGAACGTACCAGTAACTTGAGGCAATGCTCAATGGTACCAAAGCCGTATTCTGGAAGACAAAAATGTTTGCGCCCAAACCGTCAGTTTTAGGTGTGTCTTGGGGAAAGTCTATTCATTTTTTTGGCCGATCTTTTTATGCGTGAAATTAGGGTGGTCAATAAAATTGGTGAATTGAAAACACAAACTTTGTTTATTATTTGAGATAGACCAATGCAGTTTTATAAAAAGTTGTAGAACAATCAATTTGAAGCAACTTTGCTGAAGACATACAATTTCTATCTCTTATGGTTCATGAGTTATGATTATTTTAAACAAGCAGGTTAGGGTGGCCCCTAAAAACTCGGTTTTCTTTGGATACCTTTTCATACGTTCATTTCTCGTAAAACGTTGTTGTGGATTTTTGTTAAACTAATAAGGTTGTTATCTTTTTTAAATTATAAAGTTAAAGACGATTTTCTTCGAAAAAAAACTACAAGGAACAGTCCTATGGGATTGTACGCAATGGTGACGTAGGACTACGTGGTCTTACATAATAAATTTTATTAGTTAACTGCAGCAGGAGCTTGTGTTTTGTGTAGGAATAGGAATTTGAGTGGGGTTCTCTCTGTTTATACACTTTAGTTTGACGCGCTTGTCATAGATGGCCCACAGCGACTCACGAAGAGCTACTGATTCTGATCAATAGCGGTGCGGCTTCTTCCTCCTTCTATGGATGCTCATGTGGGGTGCAGCTCGCTGCTTGCAGGCAGCCTTTCGTTGTGCACTGGAGAACAATGATCAACGCCACGCGCCGAAAGCACGACTGCTGCTGCTACTACTGCTGCTGCTGATGATGCAGACGATCGGACACCATCACACACGGTGATTGGAACTTAATCCGATCAGCGGTTGAGGCCAGCCTTGATAGCTAGCTGCTTGCGAGGAGCCTTTCATTGTGGAGAACACCACCACTCACCACGCGGTGATTGAATAAACACTGTTTGGTGAGACCGAATGGAATTCAACTTTGAAATCTATGTTAGGGAAACCGCTTTTCACAGGCAATCGGTGATAATTTTAATTATCATAGCAACAGTTGCACATTCCTGCAATTTTCAATAGTGATATTTAGAAAAAAAAATGATGAAGTATTGAATTTATCAGATGCGTAGAAATATTTCTGATCAATTGGTGATACAATTGGTCCAGGGGAAGCTGAGTTATTAACGTTCAAAATCTTTCATAAGTTTGTTACATGTTCCACAAAGGTGGGCGTTGTCCAGATTTGGATTTTTCAGATATAATTCTAAATAGGACCTAGATTATTTAATACTCTAGTAACCTCAAGTCCGTGCTCTGTCAAATTTGGAGTGAATTTGAAAGAAAGGGAACTTGGAGTGTAGAGCGCACTGCCCACTGGACGATTCTGAAGCCTGGCTAAGTGAGTGGGGTATGGGTTTATTTGATTGAACGTCATTTCCAATTTATATATTTATACATTCAAACCATTGGCATTTGGTATTAGAGATTAGACAGAGATAGGATGCGGAGGGCCCGCTTAGGGGGAGCATAACCCATGTTATGGTTTCCATTTATTAAATAGTTAAATAAAAAATAGTAATAATAAGTAATAATAGTAAAAATAGTAAAATAGTATGAAAATTGAATAGAAGTTGAAAATGAGCAAAGGGCCATTAATGCGACAGTGCAAGTCAAACGTACACTCTTTGCCTAACCCGTACGATGTACGCGGAGATTTGAAGTATGTCTTCAAATCTACAGGCAAAAAATGTGCGTCTGCTTTTGCTCAAATACTGCGTGCGGCTGTGGAATAAGTCTAGCGACATTTCATCACTACCTTAAGAAAATCATTAGAAATGCCAAAATCTTACCGAGTAGTTCAGCTGTTCTGATTTCGGTAGAGTTTGTTGAGATCGGGTATGGTTTCTGAGTATGTTGTTTGTGGATTCCCATTTTGAAATAGCTCAGATTAGCACAGAGTAATAGTTTTATTACTAGGGAACTTTCTTTTGGGATCGTCTTTTCTTCATACAATTCTCATTATTCATACTATATTAATCATGATCAGTCTTAGAAAATGTTATATGTTAAAGCCCAGCTGTAGATTAGTTTGTTATTAATATCTTTTGCATTGCAGCTCGCGAGAGGTTGCCCAATATGAGTTCTCTTTCTCATCCACAATAGTTTAGGGGGAGGGGGCGATCTGAGAGCTGAATAGAGCCAAATAAAATAGGAAACACAACACCATGACCCAAACGACTAACCAACACATGCGGTGCACACTTAACTTGTTCTATTTGTTTCTTCCTCTCATGTACCAATATTACCTGCCTGAGAACAAATGAGAACACGGCCAGGAGGAAAAATAGCGAGAGAGCATGAGTAAGAAAAGAAAATAAGACATGCATCGGAAAGAGTAAGCAGTCAGAAAGGATCACGCCTATTGGAAACAGTCTATTTATACTGGACGGAACTGGTAAGTAGGATAAGAATTGTAAAAGGTATTTTAGCCAATAAGCTACATCAGAACCTCATTTCCTTCAATTACTACTCCATCGCAGCACACACCTAATAATGATCACTAACCTTCATATAGTTTCAGCATTATCGATATTATAATCAAAAGGTGAGTTGTAAAGTATTGCAGCGTACTGGCAGCCGAAAAACAATATAAAAATAAAAATAATATACAACCGACAATATCACTGCAGGCAAGCGTGTGAAGCATGTGAATCAAATTCATCAGTACGTCACAGCAAAGGCACAGGGGCTTATGGCAACAAAACCCCAACAAGGAAATCAAGCAAGCCAATAGGAATTTTACCTGGGCCCAGGTCAAGCAACCGCTCAGAATGGAGGTTTCTCATGTTGGCCCTCTGCACCTCTTGAGGTTCCCAGGATGAGCGGGAATGAAATGAAATTTTCCATTTTCTCTCAATAAAATATTTCTATTTATTCAGTACAGCTTATACGCCTAAATGCAGGCCAAAAATTGAACGCAACTCAGATCTAGCAGCGCCGACTTTCCTGAGCGACTCTCAATAGGTTGGAGTCAACCACGTAGTCAACATAACAATCACCACACAATTACCTCTCTTCTCTCATTTTCTTTTGCACACACAGGTGAAAATGCCATGATATACGATCGGATCGTTTGCAGTCAGTCGCGTGCCGATCTTGAACTTGGACGGACACCGCTACCTATACTTTGGACGAGGCTCCAATAACGTGTGATCAATTGCATTCTGTTGACGATTATTCCAGTCACGGTAAGTACCAAACCACACTGTCCAGATAGTGATAATTACTGAACTGAGGATATGAAATCTTCGGCTACGACAATCTACATTGTCGTCGCTGACTCATTAAACTTCTTGAAGAAAAGGTAAGGCTGCGAACAGTTGAAAATACCCAAATGTGAAAGTTTTCGCCTTTTGTTTGCGTTGCATTTCATTTTTAGTTTCATAGCGTTGCAGAAAATCGAAAAACGGCTGGTAAGAGAAAATTACATTTTACGGTCAGTGTCAGTGATAGCTAAATTTATCGGTAGGTCGTACTACCAGACTTGAGCTTGAGTGACTTCAAAGTTCACAGCTTTTAAAATTCAAATGCAAATCACAGCAAATTCAGTCACTGTTACTACTGTCCTAATGGATGTGGTGGTGGTGGCAAAAACAAAAATGACCTCCGAAGCCGGTTTCTTCTTTTATGTAACTTTTAGTGGCTCTGGCTAACTTGAAATAGCTGAGTTGGAAAATGGTCGAATCAACCGAGGGTGGTGAGTGAAACCAACGGTGAAATACTCGTTCTTGTTTTTATAAAACTCCCCGTCCAAAAACTAATATTTCATTTTTGAAATTCTTTGCAGAACAATCAACAAAATTCTTGGAAATAGATTATTTTCGTAGTTGGAAATGCTTAACATCAAATATCAGAATTAAAGTGGACATTTTATACGATAGATGAGGAGAGATGCTCGCTTTCTACTTTGTATATACAGTAGCTCCATAAATCCAATTTAAATTTATTTGAATTCTTTTTAGAACTTCCATGCAATTGACCTTAGAAATTTCTGTTTAGAATAATCTTGGACTTCTCCACTGCATTCAATTGGAAATTCCATTCGTATTCTCCTTATAATTCCCATAGTATTTCCTCGGAATTCTCAAAACAAACATCCATCACACAATAACTTTGAAAATCTTCTCAGAATTTCTTTGAGATTGAACCCGATTCCGTTTCAATTATTCTCGGAACTTATTTTGAACTCTTAAGAATTCTCTTGGAAGTATCTTTATAAATCACCCCAGAATTCGTTTAGAACTATCCGCCGAGACCATCTTTGGAGTTCACGGGATTTTCATGGAATTTTCATCAGAGCTCCCTTAAGCAAAATTTCAGAACTAATTTTGAATTCTTATTAGAATTGGACCTACAATTCTCATCCAATTATTCTTCTCAGAACTCTCGTTAAAATTCACTCTAAATTATATTGGAATTATTTCCAAAATTGTTTCGGAGCTGAATTTTGCGTCTCTAATAATTTAAACAATAATCAAAAGCGACACTTGTTTGTGTTAAGCCAAGTTTAACTATGTAGGTAAACCTGATTTAAGATTTAAGCGGAGATGAAGAAATCGGTCCTCAGAGCACTTAGTTTTACATGAGACTTTCTTAGTCTGTACTTTGTTATTCTTCTCTGATATATCTTGGTGTCTAGAATCCTAGAATCCTTTAAAATTCTCTTAAATTAACTTTGGATTTTTTAAAATTCTTCCAAGTTTCCAAGGTTTTCAATTTATTTTCTGGGAAAGAAGGTATATTTTCCTCCTGTTCTGGTCACCCTGGTTAATATAAAAAAAATTAACAGATATGTATACTTTATTAAAACTATTGTAGACTTTCTTAGTGCCAAGTACCCAATTTAAACATTTTGTTGATATTTTTAAATTTCACTGTATTTTAGTAGTGAAAAGGTGACTTTAGTGACTATTTTTAAGGAAATAGTAACTTTAGTGATTTTTTGGTGTAAAAAGTGACTTTTTAGTGACTGTCATTAAAAAGTGACACCACCAAAACTCGCGACGGACACATTATCAGCACGTTCCCGGGCTATTTCACCAACCGGACCAGGTTCAAACTCACCCACGGTGACGAATCGGAGAACCGGGCCACCGACAAACCGACATGAAACTCAAGCCTAACTCTTGATCGAGAATCCATAACGGCGGATTCAAATGTGCAGCGATCCCATCTGTCAAAACCATAGAAATTTGTTATCTAGATAAAAATAATTTTCCCGGAATAGATTAGACACGAACCAACTCATACATTTAGTATGTGTGTTCGTGGTTAGGATACACATTTTTCGCGAACACGGCGGCAGATGTCAGATTTGTGATGTGATCAGAAATTTGATGATACTTTGTATGATCATTCATGTCGGTTTGTCGGTGACCGGGCTCCCGGGAGGCAATGAAAACCGACACCGCACAATGGAATGGAATGTGTCGTAGATTTTGGAGGTAAATTTCAGCACACAAATAAACAAATTTAAAGCAAAAAAATGACGAAAAATACGCAGCCAAGGGCGGGTTGTGCCCTTGTGATTGTAATTGTTCAGTGTATAGGCTGTGCCAAGCGCTAAGTTGGCTTATCTAGGGACTAACCCCCTAGTCTATACACCTACTGTCCTTCCCGTTGCACTCGTCAGCTCGTGCGATACTCTAGACACACATGGGTGGTCGTATCCGGGTTCTTCCCTGGGTAGGCTCGTGTCCGTCCAGGTTCTGGTACATTAACTTATCTCTATGCATGGTAATTATACTTAATAACTCACCTTTTGATAATAATGTCGATAATGCTGAACCTATATGAAGGTTAGTGATCAATATTAGGTGTGTGCTGCGATGGAGTAGTAATTGAAGGAAATGAGGTTCTGATGTAGCTTATTGGCTAAAATACCTTTTACAATTCTTATCCTACTTACCAGTTCCGTCCAGTATAAATAGACTGTTTCCAATAGGCGTGATCCTTTCTGACTGCTTACTCTTTCCGATGCATGTCTTATTTTCTTTTCTTGCTCATGCTTTCTCGCTATTTTTCCTCCTATTGAACATCTGGCCGTGTTCCCATTTGTTCTCAAACAGGTAATATTGGTACATGAGAGGAAGAAACAAATAGAACAAGTTAAGTGTGCACCGCATGTGTTGGTTAGTCGTTTGGGTCATGGTGTTGTGTTCCCTATTTTAATTGCCTCTATTCAGCTCTCAGTTCGCCCCCTCCCCCCAAACTATTGTGGATGAGAAAGAGAACTCATATTGGGCAACCTCTCGCGAGCTGCAATGCAAAAGATATTGATAACAAACTAATCTAGAAATGGGCTTAAACATATAATATTTTCGAAGACTGATCATGATTAATATAGTATGAATAATGAGAATTGTATGAAGAAAAGACGATCCCAAAAGAAAGTTCCCTAGCAATAAAACTATTACTCTGTGCTAATCTGGGGTATTCCAAAATGGGAATCCACAAACAACATACTCAGAAACTATACCCGATGTCAACAAATTCTACCGAAATCAGAACAGCTAAACTACTCGGTAAGATTTTGGCATTTCTATTTAGTTGTATTAAGCTACTTTATATCGAGCTCTTTTCAATAATTGCAACATGTGAATAATGCAGAACAAGTTTAAAATTGTTCTAGAACCAAATTGGTTTTTAAAGGAAGGTCAAACCACCGACAAACCGACATGTCACTTAATTCTGACTTATGTCCGAAAATCGTAAACGGCCGATTTAAATGTGCAGTGATCCGAACTGTCAAAACCATAGGATTTTTTGATCTAGAAAAAAATAATTCACCCAGAATAGATCAGACACGAACCAATTCATAACTTTTGCATGCGGGTTCATGGCTTAGCTAAATATTTCCCGCGAACACGGAGCCAGATGTCAGTAGTGTGCTTTGGTCAGAAATTTTATTATTTTTACTATGGTCATTCATGTCGGTTTATCGGTGGTCAAACTACAATCGAACCGCTCAGCCGCTCTGAAACCTTCAAGTATGAACATTATGCTTTCCCAAGCTGTACCTCCGCGCTCTGCCTTTGTTAACCCAAAACCCTAAAACTAATTCAAAGATTATAATAAAGAGAGTATAAAATAAAATATCCATCTGCACTGTATTGTCCATTCAGTAATCATTAGACTTTAACCCACTTACTAGTCAATCCCCTTATTCTTGGACAAAGCCTGACGATGTGAATTTGATTTTGATTAGTGAACAGGCACCATAGGGTACATTCTCTCACTATGAACCTGTCATTTCTAGCCTATCTGAACTATTTAATAAATGGAAACCATAACATGGGTTACGCTCCCCCTAAGCGGGCCCTCCGCATCCTATCTCTGTCTTATCTCAAATGCCAATGGTTTGAATGTATCAATATATACATTGGAAATGACGTTCAATCAAATAAACCCATACCCCACTCACTTGGCCAGGCTTCAGAATCGTCCAGTGGGCAGTGCGCTCTACACTCCACGGACTTGAGGTTACTAGAGTATTAAATAATCTAGGTCCTATTAGGATTATATAGGAAAAATCCAGATCTGGCAACGCCCACCCAGCCAAGGGCGGGTTGTGCTTAGTAGGCCCAAAATTAGATGTAAGCTCTACCTAACTAATTTTGTTTCTTGTTTCAAGATCATACTCGGTGGACAAAGCCGAGTCTTGTCACTATCAACAAGGCATAACAAGTAAAAAGGACTAAGATGTGTTCCTTTGATTACAAAAACAGTCCTGTTTGCCTAGTTTGAAGTAGTTTGAACTAGGCTTCGGTGGTGGATCTTAATGCCAGTAACGCACCGCGAAAAGGTAATTTACCAGGCGTTACTGGACGTCTAATTGAATAGTTAAATTGGTAACTAAACGGCGCTCATTTAGAATTTGTTCAACTGGTACCCCTTAACACGTGCCCAATGGCGTTACGCACCTGTGTAGGGGTACCACATAAATAAATTCTAAATGAGCACCATGTAATTTCCATTTTAGTTATTCAAACTAACGGGGTTCTACGGTAAATAGTGTCTTAGGAAAAGTTTTATTTTTTTTAGCAAGCCCTTTGAAGTGAGTTTTTTTCTTTTCTTTATTTTTGAGATTTTTAGCCGTATGCTAGTTCATCTCGTCCATGAAAGGTGGGGCCTCAGAAGGAGGAGAGTAGTTTTTTACTTCAACCGGAAATTGGTTCCTGGCTCGATCGTACATTTACACAACATATTAAAGACACAACATTAAGGGAGGGCCCCCACCAGACAGAGATGTCCCAACAGCCGAAAGGAATTAAAAAAGACTAAACTTTAAAATACAACGTAGCATCCAATAAAAGCGCATTACTGCTGCCAGTGTGGAGGGGTCATCACCCAGCATGTCGCGTATGCTATTTGGAAGACCGTGGAATTCCCTCAGGTTCTGATACTGAGGGTATACGCATATAATGTGCTCGATTGAGGCTGGAGTTCTACAACCGACACAAGTGCTGTGGAACGGCGTTCCACCGAAATTGTGCGAGATCTTGGTGTGACCGGTCCTCAAACGCGACGCTATCTTCTGATCCCGCTGGTTCAACTATTCTGTCCATTACCTCGTCGTCCCTTTGATCCGTCTGATGAAGAGGGAGCGGTTTTGGGCCCAATCCGCGTCCAAAGCTTCCCGTACTTTGCTCACGATCCACCGATTGACATCGTGTAACGGTACTTCGTTGGTATAGCGAGGGGCAGATGGTCCTGCCCCAGCCAGAAAGTCAGCTTCAGAGTTGCCTGGTATTCCGCAGTGCCCCGGAACCCAGCAGAATACCATGTTTAGTGGCGCGGACTTCATCGTCACCTGTACCCAGGAATGAGTCGGGGCCTCGGATGTCAGGGCTTGTATGACGCTGTGCGAATCCGTGAGGACCACGATCGGTCGGTCGGAGAGCGTTGTAGCAGCGATGAAGATGGTAGCAGCTTCAGCAGAGAAGACAGAACATTGCGGTGGTAAGCTGCAGCTGGTTGGTGTGATGTTTCCGGCTAGACCGATAGTGTGCGTGGGGTATTTTTCTCCTACCATTTCAGCTACAGTCCTTTTCATGGCCACGGAATTGTCTCCGGTTTTCGATTTTCGGTAATGGTGTTTGCCAGCATTTGTCTCCATGCCAGTGGACCCTGGCCACTGGGGGGAGATCTTCGTTGGCAGCCGTGCGGAGGAGTCTGTTCCCCTCGTCGAGGAGGAAGATCCCTTGATTTCCGGAAGTTTTCGAGATGAAAGCTGCGGCTTTGGTTGCGTCGATGCATGCAGCGTCAGCGGGCGTGGATGGCAGCAGACCAGAGACTATCCGGACGTAGGTGTTGTAGACTGGTGCTAACGTAGCTAAAAGCTTATCCGTTGCGATGCAGGTCATCTCCAACCCGTATAGAAGGCGACTGTCGATAATTGCACGCGCCACGTGAAAACGGATGCTGCGGTTGTTCGATCTATTCAGTCGGGAAATGGTCCGGATGAGATTCACTCGGCTGCGGCAATTTTTCTTGACTGCACTGAAATGCTGTTCAAAGTTGAGGAATCGGTCAACGAGAACTCCCAGAACTCGGACGGTCTTCTTCAGCGGTATGGACTGGTCGTCGATTTTGATCGAGAAGGGCAGACATGGCACCTGATGCTTTTAGAGCCTGATAATTCAAAGCCTACTGAGTGGGCCCACCTGGCGACGGCGGATCCGGTGGTGACGATGAGGATGTCGTCGGCGTAGACGAACACATATATGTATGTTTTTCGGTAGTTGACGGAAGACTCCGTTCGTCGCCACTAGGAACAGGGTAACGGCGGTAACCGATCCTTGTGGAACACCCGTTTCCTCGGGGAAAAGCCGGGTTTTGGTGTTACCGACTGCGACTCGAAATGAGCGGTTGGACAAGAAGTTCTGGATGAAGTGAACGATGGGTCCGTTAAGACCCCAGTCGATTAGTTGCTTAAGAACGAGGGGCGTCCACGTTCTGTTGAGGGCCTTCGATATGTCGAGCGATACTATCTCGGTGTGCAGACCACTGGCATAGGCGTTCTTGAGAACTTCCCCTAGGGTTGCGAAATAGGTGGACGTTCCGAAACCTTGTCGGAAAGCGTGCTGTCGGTGATCAAGGAAATTTCCAGCTTCGAGGTGTTGCTTCAGTCTTCGATGAACCATACGCTCTAGGACTTTGGCCATACAACATGTTTGAAGTGAGTGAAATTTTAGGCTGGTCTCTGGAGACGGCTCTGGTGTAGTGTTTAACGTCCATACCTCCAACGTCACGCCAAAGTCACGAGTCAACCTCATCCCAGGACAAGTCACGAAGAGTGAAACAATGACTATAGGTTAGTGTGCAGGGTGGTCCCTATAGTTAGTGTAGTTCTAAATATACACTCTTAAGCTATATAAGATATACCGGCTTAGTTGTAGAAAAATTTACTTGAATAAACTTTGCCGAAAAAACAAATTTGCTTGACAAACAGTGACTTCTCGTTTTTTCAATTAACCTTTTATAAACTGATTTCTTGCAAACCATTTAGAGGTTTTTGGTGTACAATTTTTGTAAAGAAATTAGTTGCTAACTTTTTGTTGAAAAGTTCAATGCGACAACACAATGTGCTCTTTACAAATGCTGGTTATTAGGCACTTCTTAAAAGCGGTGCACAATAAATCCGGAGCAAATCCAACAGTTAAGACAATAGATTTAGTTGTCACTTTGCCGCAACTTATCAACGATGCATTGTATGGTGCTGCACTTTAATAGCCAACCATTGACTACACTTCATCCCACGAAAACACCGAAACCCATTTCAAACAGTTTATTGCAACTTTACAATCTCATACTTCATCAAACCCAAACCCATTCTTCACAGTTCATCCTTCGGCATCTCCTTCACGTACAGTTCTTCCACGAACTGATCGATGGTCTGCTGGATCTCCTTCAGATAGGTCCGCCCGTCCGTGTCCCCACTCCACTCGCTCAGCCGTGTATCCAGGTTATTCCTCAACACCAGCAACGTATGCCGAAACAGTGGACATTTGGACCACGTGTCCTGACAGAGACCCACGCGGACGCTACGCAGTGCACTCACCACTTCCTCCGTCAGATTGTCATCCTGCACGAAACCGGCTTTGTTCTGATGGAAAAAGTCCCCGACTCGCTTGCAGTACTCTACCTTTCGTAGATGCTCCTTCAGCTGGGTCGATTCGTACCGTCCCCGGGTGATTGCGTCAACATCCGCTACCGTTGTAGCATGTTCGTAGTCCTGCACCAAGTCGGTGATTAGCTTGACGATTTTGACCTTTACCCGAAGTTCGATTTTTTTGTCCAGAACGTCGAACAGCAGACTGTAGCCATGAGGGTTGAGAAGTTCGCTCTGTGCGTATGGAAATTTTCTCAATAAGGCGCCGAAAGCGTACAATCCTGCGGAAATTTCTTCAGAATTGCTCGACTGGGAAAGCTTTGTCAGCAAAATACTTCCTCCGTTACGTTCAAACAGTGCAACCTTAGCTTTTGGGTTGTTTTGAACCACCGTCCCGAGCAGCTTGAACCCGTGAATCTTCAACGAAGACTCGGTTTGGTTCAAACTTGGCCAAATAATCTTCTCAATTCCCTGGCGATCTATAAACTCGATGGCGTTGTCAATCTGATGGACCAAGTAGAGCAAATCTTCAAACATCACGTCCAATTGGGCCTTGACGGTGCTCTCAGCCTGGTTTTTCGATTTTAGAATCCCTTCGAACCGTTCAAACAACGCACCCATGATATCACTGTCGCTCTTCACCTCCAGATTGACTTCCTTCAGTTCCTGCTTGATCTGCTCGTACGTCTTGTACTTCTGGTTGACTTTCTTCAGCTCTTCTTCGTTGAACTTGAAGTCATCGCCGGGAATGTTCTCCAAGGCTTCCTTCAGCTTACCGATGTTGTCGTACGGTAAAGCACTGCCGCCTCCACCATGATCCTGAAGGCCCTCGCCGGGCACGGTGGACAGCGATGCAGTAGATTGGGTATTGTTGTCTTCCTTCTCCAGAAGCTTCGCTTCCTTCATGCCAGTTTGCAAATTGATTCTTACGTGCAAACCCTGCGGGATGGGTTGACCTGGTACAAATGATTATTACCGTAACTTTTTTTTTAAATCGGTGGTGTTTTACCTTCTTGGATCTCTTGCCACTCTTCAGTGGCGATGAATTGCGTTTTGTTCTGGGTCGCGTAGCTCGTCACCAGAAACAGTCCGAGCAGGAAGATGTTGATCGAGTTCATGACTACTTGAGATTGGTTCGACTAATAAAATTGGATTTACTTCTCTTTGGTGAAGATGTTTTTAAAATTTCTGAGATTTAGCTGCGAGTTTCATCACTATGTGCTGCCCGGCCTATAGGAGGTATGAAAACAAAATACCTCTCGTCTCAGGACGGCAAATACACGTCAGTGTGGAACGTGGTTTTCGGATACTCATACAGTCACATGGCAGCTGTCGTGTCGCGATGCGCCTAACTGCATGTTTGTATTAAGTTTTAAGCAAGTTGGACTCAATTTGCATGCAAGATATAGTGGATAGGGGGGCCACAGAGTATAATTTATCGGTGACCTGACAATTTCCTATAGGTACTGAATTATAAATTATCATATAGGACCTAAACAATCTTGAAAAAGCCATCAAAAGTTTCAATGCCACAAACCTGCACAACTTCTTAAACTAAAGACTTTAAACAAATAAAGACTAAAGACAGACATTTGAAAACGGCCCATATGAAAATATAATAAAGAAAAAAATCTCCTCTTACCTCGCCTTCCAGATGTTCTCCTGCGGCCTGCTAATCGCCCTTCTGGTCCTGTACGTGATCTGGGATGTCAACTACTTCATCCGCTGCGTGGCCACCCTCGGCTATGGGATGCTGTTCCAGCGGAAGCGCAAAGTGACCGATCAAACTTCGATCTACGGCCTGTGCACCACTCAGGACGTGGACATCTTCATCCGACACATGAACAACGCTCGCTACATCCGTGAGCTGGACTTTGCCCGGTTCCATTTCTACGGCCTGACCGGAATCTACGGCAAGATCAAGGCCAAGGGCGGTGGTGCCGTGCAGGGTGCCTCCAGTGTACGCTACCGGCGGACCATTCCGATCTTCAATACCTACAAGATCACTACCCGGTTGGTGTGGTGGGACGACAAGGCGATCTACCTGGAGCAGCAGCTCATCACGTTGGCCGATGGGTTCGTCCGAGCGGTGGCCATGTCCAAGCAGTGCATCACCAAGGTGAACGTGTTGGACTTGATGAAGGAGTTTCCGGGCGTGGAGAAGCAACCGGACATGCCGGACGAACTGAAGCAGTGGTTGGAGTCGATCGAGACCTCCAGCCAGAAGCTGCGGAAGGACAAGTAGATCTCACCTAGAATGACGGAACGAAGAGACGGAGAAGGCTTTCGGATCAGCGATGGTCGGTGGTCATAATTGAAATATTTATTGCATTCCCGTGGAGTGGTATTTAGAAGTAATAATACGAAAAAAGTTTAATACATAACCGTTTAAAAATGACTAAAATGCATTGCCCCGAATAAATAGCTTTTCTTTTTTATATTAAAATAGAGTTTTATTCCTACCCACCATCCACTATTTACCGTCGAACGGTCCGAAGACAACCGTCCCGGCCGGTTGTTGACTCTTCTTAAGCAGATTGACATACTTTACGAGATAGCGAGCCAGATTTTCGTCGACGTAGAGCACCAGGCGGCGTTCGCTGTCATCGGCACATCGGTTGCTTCCGTCCCCCTCGATGATGGGAACATCGTCCAGCAGCGATTGATCGCCCTCGTCATCGATTTCAACGACTATGTCGTCGCAGTTTCTGGAAGTCATGTCGTCGGCCTCCTCCGGCGGGGAATCAAAAGTGCTTCCGTTGTTGGACGCTGGCGCTGGAGCTAGGTTCACCTTGGGGGTGACTGCAGACGGTTTCGTCACCAACGGAGGAAGTGAGTAGGAGGATAACTTTGGCAGTTGCATGGTCGATTCCTGCACGAACTGGTACGTTCGGCTGGAGATGGGATAGGACTGGAAGAAATAACATTTTAGCTTGTGATTTTTTCTTGGAAATGTTGCGCAAAATACCATGTAATCCGTGGGTGGTGGTGGCAGTTCCGGCCGTATCCTCAGCAAAACCTGGGTGGGATCAGTCGCATCTACGCTGGGATACACAGTCTTCAGATCCAGAACCTCCAAGAGCTGGCTGTTATCGACGTCCAGCAGTACGAACGTCTTCAAATAGATCCCCACGACAACCAGCTTGTACTGACTCCTGCCGGCAAATGTGGCGTGAATTGTGAACATGAGCGATCCATCACAGAGAGCTTGCGGATCCCAGAGAGTCTTGTAGGGGATCGGTTCCTGTCTTTGAAGCGGTTGTTGGAAATACTTTGGCGTAGGCATCGTATTGTACCCCACGCTATGGAGCATTCCCTGTCCCGTAAGGGCAACCAATTCCGCAGCACCACTGATCGGTTTCGTGAATGCTCCAACGATACCTTTTCCCACACCCGTCACCACGTCCATCGGACTTCTCGCCTGTAGCGGATGATGAGCCAATCCTCCGACAGCTCCCAATATACTGATACCCAGCCCCGTTAAACCCTGTGTGAATCCTTCGGTCATCCCTTGAGGTCGTCTCCTTCGCAAGGCGTCCGTTCTCTGGACGTGCTCATTATCCAACGTTAACCTATCTAAGTTCCTGGCTACGGACGTTGCCAGCTTAGTGACGGAGTTGACCGTTCCTGCTGTAATGTTTCTTACAAGCGACGTGGATCCTTGGGTCAATCCCACTAAGAATCCCCATGGTCCCCGGAATAGTCCCTGCACGGGAAGTGACACAAAATCCCGCAGACCACTGGTCACCGATCGTGCCAAGCCGCTGGGACTTCCGAGTATTTCCAGCGATCCAATGACCCAACCGCCCCCGAAGATGGCCCCCGATAGGTAGTGCATTCCCAGTGAGTTACCGAACCGTATCGGTAGTGATCGAATGTGATTCCGTTCGAAAGCGGAGAAGTCCAGCGGGCTATGATCCAAGGCTATGTACAGACGCATACAGGTGTGGACGGAAAGCAGGACGTGCAATGGCTCAATTCGAATGTAGCGGAACTTGATCGGATCAGCCAGGTAGGAAGACTGCTGCGTGACCAGTTTTGGGACGAGGACTTGACCAGGAGCGCACTTTATCCGTTCAACCGGCCGTTCAGGTTGATACAGCAAATTCACCGGAAGACACTCCATCAAATAATCCAACAGGATGTTGATGTAGGTATCCTCTATGTACGCCCTGATCGGGTTGATCTTGAAGCGCAATCCTTCGACGTTCGTCCAGCTTTCCGCGTCCATTTCGACATAGATCGAACACAACGCATTCGAAGCCAGCTCCTGCAGACAATCCTCCAGCCGGTACTGATTGGGAATCACCACCGGTTGTGCTTGTTTAGCCTCGTGATCCTCACTGCACAAGATCACCGGGAAGTCATACTCCCCGGTACTGTGCAACTCATTGTCCACCTGGACGCTGACGAACTGAACCAGAGCCTTACTGTTGTCGCCACCAGTGTTCATCTCGACTCCGACTCGATCGAAGTTGAACGAAATCAGGTCCACCTTGGAGCAGCACTTCGAGTCCAGATCGTTGAACAAGGTTAGGTTCAGCGATTTAAAGAACCCACGGAACGATATCCGTTTGGATCGCAGCGGTGGCTGTTGACTGTCCGCGCCGGTTACGACAGGTGAAGCCGCTGGTTTGGGTGTAGGTTTCTGCGGTAGTTCTGAGGAGTCCTGATCCGCTGGAAGCGCGATCGGATTCAGGAGCCGGGTGCGGATGTCTTTGGCGGAGAATTCCAGGTCCTGGAGGAAAAACGTGACTCAAATAAGGTTTTGAGAATACAGAATGGCTTGAGATAAACCTACCTGACTTATATAGTCGATCAGGATGTCGGTAGTACGGTTCTTAATATTCACAGCCAGTTTGAGATCACCGTACAGAGGAATGTTCAGGAATATATTCTTATTTTCATCGATCTTCACCGGGTGGGACCATCGAATGGCGCTTCCTGCAAACAAAGATGTTCATTAAGTCAACTCGAAAAAAAAAACTTCCAGAACTCACCACTAACGCACGCAAAGATCAGTGCCAGCTCAACCTCCTGCGTCTCTGGAAATATGGCATCCAGCGCCGGAGGTGTATAGTGCACCGTCTGTCTCGATCCAACAATTTGATACCACACAAAGTTGGACTCCACCACGCACTCCGGAACGGCCGTGGCCGCTTTGCTCGCATTCACAGAATCCGACTGGGCCACGTAGATGTTGAAGTCCGTGCGGTTCTCGATCGAGAACGACGGACACGGATCGTCGTAGATCGAAACGTACTGTTGGCCTTGGTGGGCGACGATCGACAGCGATAGGGGAAGGTACCGATCGTCGTCGCACTGGACGGAGAAACTTTTCCGCGACAGCGTGCGATTAAGGTAGATTGGGGTGGAGAACTCGTTGCCATCGTGCTGGTAGAGCGTTAGGTAGCAGTTGTAGCAGCTGTTGAATTTGAGTTTGTTCTTGTGCTTGGACAGGTTGTTGAAGACGGTGATGGCCGTACCTTGAGGACTGTGTGGGGATAAATTGCATAGGCTATTAGTGGAACAGTTTGAAAGCAAAGGAGCTGATTCATACTTTTCACATTTTCTATCGGTCCGGGGAAGACTGTAGCAAGCAGTATGCGGTCCGGTGTCGTCCTGGCGAACCTGATCCAGCCGTTCGTTGGTGAGCACACCGAATGACCAACAGCGCAAATCGTAGCTGGAATAGTTCGTCACGACAAACTGCGACGCGAGGATCAGCACTCGGATGTTGTTTTCCGTTACGGACGTCAGAATCAGATTTGTGATCTGCAATGGGAACGAAAGTAGTGAAACAACAAATTGGATTGCGGACGAAAAACATAAATATCATGGGAAAGGTACAGTGTGAATGAAAGACAGTAAATACGCAACGTTACGCCTTCCATAAGTGAACAACTGCTGGACAAATATTTGTGTGCTGTTATCAGTAGAAAAGATGCGATTATTTAGAAAACCACAAACAATCGTCTCCAAGCAACGTGACGTTCATAGTTAAACGAACTTTAGAAGATATGACTCAAGAAAAGGTCAACCACTGATCCTGGCTCAGGAAGTTATGGCAAACCGCAGGAATAGCAGAAAAGTTGGGAAAACTGTCGTCCCAACCATTCGCTCTATACTTACATGCGGTGCTGCATGTAATTGTGAAAACCACAGCTATTGTCGTTCTCGTACCCGCGGCTCTACGTTATCGCGATTTGCTTGAAGTTCTCACTCGTCCCAGACTCCAGCTAGACGGGATATATATAGCTATATAGCTATATAGCTGCTCAGTCATCGTCACGTTGCTGTAAGTGCTGCCAGCATAAGTACAAATTGAAGAAACTATAATCGATCAATAAGTTAATACTGGAGCTCAGACGAAGTTTTCTCAGACAATCAATGTAAATTTAATCAAAAAATAATGTTTATAGATTGTGCCACGTTTGGCATAATGTCTTTGGGACTTTAAAGCATGTTCATTTGCATTGCTAAATAGTTTGTATATTGGCGAAATAAGGGGAGGCCAGGGGCGCTGTATTGCTCGGAGCCTGCTTCAGCTATACGATCTAATTTTGTTGCGACGAAGAAGACAAACTCTTGAAAGCGAATACAGCTTTTATTGCTTCAAGATTTATAGTTTTTCTCTTCTAAAGGGTGATACGGTCAAAATTTGGTCAAGGGAAAACGCGTGTAAATCGGTGAAATCGTTTATTTAAAAAATCAAATTAAATTTCTTTTTCAAGTTCAATTAGTATAAAATTCAGGAAAAATATTCAGTTAGGCTTCCGCTTTTCCAAATCCGAATTTCCGGGCCTTACGCTTGACCCCTGCCATCAGATTTTGTACAGCCACCTTGTCCACCTTCTTCGCCGCAGAAAGCCAGTTTGCCTTGAACTGCTGCTCGCCCTTAGCAGTTTTTTTGGTCTTCTTTAGGTTCCGCTTGACAATAGCCCAGTATTTCTCAATTGGGCGGAGCTCTGGCGTGTTGGGAGGGTTCTTGTCCTTGGGAACCACCTGCACGTTGTTGGCGGCGTACCACTCCATGGCCTTTTTACCGTAATGGCAAGATGCCAAATCCGGTCAAAACAGTACGGAACAACCGTGTTTCTTCAGGAAAGGCAGCAGACGTTTATTCAAACACTCTTTCACGTAAATTTCTTGGTTGACAGTCCCGGAAGCTATGAAAATGCTGCTTTTCAAGCCACAGGTACAGATGGCTTGCCAAACCAGATATTTCTTTGCGAACTTTGACAGTTTCATGTGCTTGAAAACATCTGCTACCTTTCCCCTTCCTTTTGCCGTATAAAACTCCTGTCCCGGAAGCTGCTTGTAGTCGGCTTTGACGTAGGTTTCGTCGTCCATTACCACGCAGTCAAACTTCGTCAGCATCGTCGTGTACAGCCTCCGGGATCGCGCTTTGGCCGTCGTATTTTGTTTATCATCGCGATTTGGAGTCACTACCTTCTTGTAAGTCGATAGTCCGGCTCGTTTTTTGGCTCGATGCACGGTTGTAGACGAAACACCCAGCTTATTTGCGGCATCTCGGAGAGAGAGGTTAGGGTTTCGCTTGAAACTACCGGCAACTCTCTTTGTCGTCTCAGCGGCTTCCGGTTTTCGATTTCCCCCCGATCCAGACTTCCTGGCTGTCGACAAACGTTCCCCAAACACTTTAATTACATTTGTAACGGTTGATTTGGCAACTTTTAGCGATTTTGCCAACTTTGCGTGCGAGTAGCTCGGATTTTCGCGATGCGCGAGCAAAATTTTGATACGCTGCTCTTCTTGCTTGGACGGCATTTTGACAACTGAAGAGTGAATTCCAAAATCAAAATAAGAGCAACATTCTACACACACACACCTTCAAAATGAGGGGTGTTCAGGTTTTTTAAATGCAAAATTGAAAGAAATACGTCAAGTTGATATTGACCAAATTTTGACCGTATCACCCTTTATCTAGAGCAACAAATCACTTCTTGTCTCTTGGACGTTTAACTTGTAAATGATTCCTTACTCCTAATATTCCAATGCCTACTTCTATTCATGCATCAATCGGTATCTATGCAGCGCCTACCTGTTCTACAACAACAGGCGCTGTCCCCCTCGACCTAGAGCAGGCCCACCCAAGAGAATTTAAGAAATAAATACCGGAGCAATATATTTTTTTTTATATAAAGTAATCTCTGCTGCGACTTTGAATTTCTTAATTAGCTGCCTATTCACGGCTGATGATTGGACTTTATTGAAATCAAATTAAAAATCCATGAATATCAACTAAAGGCTGGAATCCGGACACTTTATTATATAGCAGCGCCTCTAGTGGTCGGATTTGTAATGTTTTGACAGCGATGTGTTTTGAAAGTACACGTGTTTCAGTGGTGAAAGTGTCGTCTCGATACGTACAGTATCAAAAAAGTTGTACTAGATGGACGACGAGAAAAGAAAATTGATCCTGCACACCGTTTTGTTGGTGATGAAAAGCTTAGATTTGAGTCCGCAGCTGCAAATTCCTTGCCAGATCATCAGTTTCCAGGCGAATTTATCGGCAAAAATAAAAATGGAACTTGCTGCGGACATCACCCCGTGCTGTGGTCAGATAAAGTTGTTGTCCGGGAATCTGCCTGAAATCCATCTAGACATATGTTTCGTCTTCCATGAGAAGGCATCCTCTGTACTTCGTCAGAAACCGGTCGTAAAACTTCCGGCCGCGTGTTTTGGCCACTAGATTCTGCTTCATCGTTTTGTTCGGTTGCTTGGAGGCACGGAATGAATGGTAACCTGCTCGCAGACGGATCCTCCGTACGGTACTACTAAATGAGGGGTTCGTGGATTTTCTTATGTTTCGAGGGGTGCATCGATTAGCTTGGGACCGAAGAGAGTGCCAGAGCTGAGCCAAAAAGTCGAGCACATTTCTTCGGGACCTTCTAGTCTTAGAGTTACCTCTATGGTTTCGCAAAGTTTCTATAATTCAATGCCATGAACTCACATAAAGTACCCTGAATTTCTTCCCAATCCATTTAATTTAGCCCTCAGCTTATATGAAGTTACCTAAATTTGTGGAAAATTTTGCAAATTGCTGGAAAGTTCCGTCCACTTCTACGAAGTTTTCTGAACTTATTTGATTTGTTTATAGTTTATACAAACTACAGCAAATTTTTTACCAAAATAGCTGAGCTTGTAAATAATTCCTATGTTTCATTCACTGATCCTGGAAGTTTGACCAAGATCTCAGAACATCATGTTGAATTTCAACTCCACGAAATTCTTAAAAAAAGAAAAAAACTAACAGAGCTTGTACATACTTCCTAGCTCTTCAAATAAGTTTTGCGAAGTTTCTCGATATTCAATTTAATTCACTCAACTTATACAAACACCGCTGAATGATTTTTAATTCATAGCCTTTCAATGTTTATTTTCTGTTCTTTGAGGATCCATTAAAAATTTAAATTCTATTAAATTTACTAAACTATTTAGGCAATAAAATAAATTTTTAATTTATAAATAATAAACAATAAAAGTTTAAATAATTTCTTTGAAGTTGCTCCAAGGGGTTGTCACACACAGTTTGCGCCAACTTTGTTCTCAGTGTGCCTTCTTCTTCATTCCTTTATTTAACGTCGGTCTCTGTTCCGCAATCTAGTGCCAATCACCGACGGACATCGATTGCCATCCATTGACGGCAATCGAATGTGCAGGAAGGCAGCTTCCACACCTGCGTAGGATATCGTACCCATTCAACACAGATGGGCCGGGACCAACGGCTTTACTTCCCTTCCGAAGGAAGACGTGACCAGAGATTTTTATGCCTCAGAAAAATCCCACCGACCTCGGCTGGGATTGAACCCAGACCCATTGGGGTGTGAGAAAGCAGTCACGCTTACCACTACACTACCGGCGCCGGCCTCAGTGTGCCTCAACTGTGCCGACAGCGCCATGATATCGTGATGACTTTTCTTGTTTGTGAATAGTTGCATGTTTGGCTACCCGGTATTTTGACAGCTTGATTGTTTTCATTTGTTCTTTTTCTTCTTATTCGCATTTCAAGCTTATTGCTTAGTGCATATTAGCTTATTGCGTGCTCTCAACTTAGTGTTCTAAATGCACTTCCACAGTTATTAATTGAGAGCTTTCGATGCCAATACCCCAATGCATGAATTTGTATAATGTGTGGCAAGCACAATGATACTCTATGCCCAGGGAAGTCGAGAAAATTTCCAACCCGAAAGATTCCCTCGACCGGGCCGGGAATCGAAACCACCGCCTCCGGCTTGGTAGTACAAACCGTGCCTTTACTGACTAGGCTATGAGGCCCCCACGATGTTACAAATCAAATTACTGGCCAGATCCGAAAATGGTTTTCAAGTATTCCTCCTCAAATTGTAGTAAATTGTAGCGCGTTTGTATTTGTGAGCCGTTTTCCTTGCTTCAGTCGGGTTAGTTCCACCAAGGCGGAAAGTAAGAATAACCGTTCGATAGCTCTGCTAGGAATGTGACGCGTGACTACCGAACGCAGACTGGTGGTCTTACTGGAAGTTCTCAACAGAATGCTATATCTGATTTGTCGGTCAGTTTACAGTTTTCATCCTGGTAGCGATGCTGTGCGACGGCATATCATATAGTAGGAACCGAACATGAAAGCCGCAGTTATGGTGAACAGCTTTCGAATTGTCCAACGGAAGCGAACTTCTGAATGTCATCCAAAAACGGGAACAGCGCTGAGTACTCAGTAGCAGTGCACTCCTCTATAAGTTAAGAATCATATAAGATCGAGCTCTATTCGATTTCTT